TCCTTATCACCCGAGGGGTGGTCGTATAGGTAGTGGTGGTTATCGTTGCTGCGTTCCCGCCGTCGCCGGCGCCAGCGCCGGCGCTGCTGGCCGCCGCCAGCGCCGGCGCCGGCGCCGGCGCCGGCGCCAGGGGGGGGTTTGAACCCCCCTCCCCTCGGCGGCATTGGGGGGGGGTTGACCCCCCCCCTTGAGCTGCCTCTGGTCATCGTCGCTGCGTCCCCGCCGTCGGCGCTGCTGGCGGCCGCCGGCGCCGTCACCAAGGGGGGGGGGGTGAACCCCCCCCTCCCTTGGGAGGGGGGGGGGTTCGGGAGGGGGGGGATTGGGGGGGAGGGGAGTCCCTTTGGTTTTGATCGACGGCGCCGAGTGTTGGTGGGGGGCCCAACCCCCGGTTCGAAACGCGCCGCCGACTGTTCCCAAGGCGAACGTCTGTGAAACGCGTTCTCCCAAACATCTTTGACACATTTTTAACCCAATGGTCGGATTCTTGGGGTGTCCATTGCCACGGCATCCACAATTGTGGTGCACAGCTCTGTGCTGCAAGCTCTGCGGTGCAAGCCCTGTGGCGCAAGCTCTGCGGACGCCCAGGCGCCCACGGGCCGCCGGTAGCCGCCCACGGGGCGCCTTCGGGGCGCGCCCACGGGAGGCCAACAGCTTGGCCACATGCGAAATTCCGCTGGGCCCAACCAGTGCACGGGGCGCCCACGATCAGCGTCGTTTGACCGATCCCCATCCCTATCCCCATCCACATCTCGAGCCCCACCGCCTCACCACCTCAGCTGGGGGTATGCCCCTCGAAACCCGAAGAGAGCAGCCCATAGCCACATCGGGGGGTACATCGGCCAGTGGGGCCCAGCCCACGCTGGTGAGGATGGGGACCGGTTGAACGATGCTCACACGAGGCGCCCACGGGGGGCCGCCAGCTGGGCACCGCGCGAACACCCCGTCCTACCATGCAGCGCGCGGGGCGCTCACGATGCGCCCACGGGGGGCCACCAGCTGGGCACCGGGCGACACCCCACCCGACCCGCCCCAGTGCTTGGAAGTGGGGCGAGACCCCTTGGGCGCAAGAGCTGTGTGGGGAACGTCCGCTTCTCCACCTTTAGCGTGCGGAAAGCAGCGCAATGAAGAAACGGGTCGTCCTGAGCTGCCTGATAGGTCAGGCGGCAGCCAAGGGGGGGAGGAGGACGGGGGCAGGGGCCAGAGCCAATGGGTGCGCACTTGGGGCGGGCGGGACCCCTCCCCCTCTTCCTGTTCCTGGTCGTCTTCGCTGCATCAGCTTATCCTTTCTTTCGGGATGTGGCTTGTCGTTGACTCGTTGGCCCGTGGCCCCCCCTCCCACGTCCACACCCCTCTCTTCTTCCCTCTGGGCTTGTCCGATGTCTCTTGGGGCAGTGCCACTCCGCCTCCTCCTCCTCGTCCGCCTCCTCCTCCTCCTCCTCCTCCTCCTCCTCCTCCTCCTCCTCCTCCTCCTCCCCCTCCCCCTCCACCTCCCCCCCTTCCTTGCAGGGCCTCCTCCCCTCTGGTAAGCGCCAGTGGGTCCCCGGGTTCTTGGGGGGCCCACGGCCACTGTGGCCGCTCCCGGGGGGCGCCCCCGCCGCGCGAGAGCCGCGCGCCCCCAGACGAACTCCGTGGGCGGCGTGGACGTGCCCGCCTGCGAGGCGGCCCTCGAGGAGACTCGGCGCTGTTTTTTTTGTTTATTCCCTACCTAGGCTCTGCCTAGAAGGGTTCTTACTCTCTTAGCTTAAAGGGGCCGGGCAGTGCACAGCGCCCCGGGCGGTTCCCCCAGTCCCCGCCCCGCGGTTCCCCCCAGTCCCCTGGGAGCTTTAGCTTTAGCTTTAGCTTTAGCTTAGCTGTAGCTTAGCTTTAGCTTAGCGTTTCGCTTAGTTTTTCGCTTAGCGTTTAGCTTAGCTTGAGCTTAGCTTGAGCTTAGCTTGAGCTTAGCTTGAGCTTAGCTTTAGCTTAGCTTTAGCTTAGCTTTAGCTTAGCTTTAATTTAGCTGTAACTTCGCTTTAGCTTAGCTGTAGCTTAGCTTTAGCTTAGCTGTTGCTCAGCTTTAGCTTAGCTTTAGCTTAGCTTTAGCTTAGCTTTAGCTTAGCTTTAGCTTAGCTTTAGCTTAGCTTTAGCTTAGCTTAGCTTAGCTTAGTGGCTTAGCTTTAGCTCTTAGCTAGCTTAGCTTAGCTTTAGCTTAGCTTTAGCTTAGCTGTTGCTCAGCTTTAGCTTAGCTTTAGCTTAGCTTTAGCTTAGCTTTAGCTTAGCTTTAGCTTAGCTTTAGCTTAGCTTTAGCTTAGCTTTAGCTTAGCTTTAACTTAGCTTTGGCTTAGCGGTGGCTTAGCTTTAACTTAGCTGTAGCTTGCTTTAGCTTAGTTTTAGCTTAGCTTTAGCTTAGTGTTACTGTTACTACTAATGCTGCTTTCCTAGGGGTTCCAACTCCTAGGTCGGGTCGCATTGGGATAATATATATATGGTTATCTTGTTACTCTTCTTCTTCTTCTTCTTCTTCTTCTCCTTCTTCTTTCTGAACCCACCATGAAAACCTCCATTCCCCCATAACCATATGAATTTCTATAGTTTCCCTGCATTTTCGGTGTGCCCTGTCGGGACCCTCCGAGGAGGTCCCCCCCAAGCCGTTTCTACGCCTCTTTCACATCATCACCATCATCATCAGCATCATCAGCATCATCATCACCTTGGGTAGTTATCATCATCAGCAGCATCACCATCATCATCGCATCGCATCATCATCTTGGGTCATAGTAATCATCATCAACATCACCATCAGCATCTTGGATCATCACTCTCATTTATCATTATCATCATCATCACCATCGCCGCCACCATCATTCCCGAAGCCGTTTCGGGTCAAGGTGTCTCGTTCGCTTGTCTCCCGCATCCCTCGATGCCCTGGCGGTGCTCGTGCCCTCGTTTCCGACAGCCTCGGTATTGGATCGGTTTGTGGTGGACCGTTCAGCATCTGCACGCCATTCTACTCAACAGCCTCCGTCTACTCTACACCCTCCGTCGACTCCACTCCCTCCGTCTCCAACACACCACCCGATACTCAACAGGCCCCCTCCCCAAACTGTACTTGAAAATCCCATTCTACTCCACAACTTCCGTCTACTCCACACCCTCCGTCTACTCCACTCCCTCCGTTTCCAACACGCCACGCGGTACTCAACAGGCTCCTTTCCCAAGCTGAACTTGAAAATCCCAGTCTACTCCACAGCCTCCGTCTACTAAACCCTCCGTCTACTCCACTCCCTCCGTTTCCAACACACCACCCCGTACTCAACAGGCTCCATCCCCAAGTTTAATTTGAAAATCCCATTCTACTCCACAGTCTCCCTCCGCACCCTCCGTCTACTCCACTCCCTCCGTTTCCAACACACCACCGGGTACTCAACAGGCTCCATCCCCAAGTTGAACTTGACAATCCCATTCTACTCCACAGCCTCCGTCCTTTCCACACACTCCGTCTACTCCACTCCCTCCGTCTCCAACACGCCACCCGGTACTCAACGGGCTCCCTCCCCAAGCTGAACTTGAAAATCCCATTCTACTCCACAGCCTCCGTCTACTCCACGCCCTCCGTCTACTCCACTCCCTCCGTCTCCAACACACCACCCGGTATTCAACGGGCTCCCTCCCCAAGATGAATTTGAAAATCCCATTCTATCCCGCAGCCTGCGTCTACTCCACAACCTCCGTCTACTCCACTCCCTCCGTCTGCAACACGCCACCCGGTATTCAACAGGCTCCCTCCCCAAGCGGAACTTGAAAATCCCATTCTACTCCGCAGCCTCCGTCTCCTCCACACCCTCCGTCTACTCCACTCCCTCCGTCTCCAACACACCACCCCGTACTCAAGAGGCTTCTCCTCGACCTCCGCTTCCAACGCAACACCCGATGTTCCACAGGCTTTTCCTTCCCTTCCGCGCCCTCCGAATCCACAGCGTTGCCAGCGTTCTCTCTCTCTCTCTCTCTCTCTCTATTTTACGTTCACGCACACATCAATCTCGTACACCCCCACGCACACTCGCCAACGCGAAGACCCACACCCTTCTTTCTTGTTGGGTCTTCCAAGAGGAAAAAGGGATGTTCATGGTGGGTTCAGGGACATGTATGTATGTATGTATGTATGTATGTATGTATGTATGTACGTATGTACGTATATATGCATGTATGTATGTATGTATGTATGTATGTATGTATGTATGTATGTATGTATGTATGTATGTATGTATGTATGTATGTATGTGTGTATGTATGTCTGTATGCATGCATGCATGCATGTATGTATGTGTATCTGTATGTATGTAGGTCGGCAGGCAGGCAGGCAGGCAGGCAGGCAGGCAGGCAGGTATGTATGTATGCATGTATGTATGTATGTATGTATGTATGTATGTATGTATATATACACATATATATACATATATATATATAATATATATATATATATATATATCGCGCGTTATGCCCCCCCCCCCCTCCCCCACTCTTCCTTCCCCCCTCCAAATACGTAGCGCCCCCCCCCCCCCCCCTCAGTGTCTCCAGCGCTGCCGCAGCGCTGCGTTATGCCCCCTCCCGCCCCCCCTCCCCCTCCGCAAGAACGCCCGTTATGGCGGCGAATCGAAAAATGCGCTCCTGCTTGCGGGAGGTCGCTCGAGAACCGAAGATGTGGAGGGTCGAGCTGTCTGGAGATTGACGGCTCGTTTGGGCCTCTGGAGGCCTCCTAGTGTAGCCGTATCTTTCGTTCTCCTTCCCCCCATATCGCTATCTCGGCTCAGGTATTGGTGCGGTAAAAATGTTCTCTTCATCATCAACATTTTACGGAACCCACGGTGGCATCGGCTCCCTGATGCGTTCCTTTGTTCCACAGTGTCCGGCCTTGGGAGGCTCCCAGGGCCCTCCAGGATGGTAGAGTAGGCCCATGTCAGTTCTTGGAGTCACTGTTCTTTGAGCAGTGCACGCAGGCAACAGAGACGTGGTGATCTCAGTTTCGTCCACGATGGCCAGCTATTCGGGGCATCAATAATGGCAACAACGCGCGCGTGCCACAGCGTCCGTGGACAGTCTCGGCGACTCGTTTTCAAGGAAGTCTTGCTCAGTGATGCATCGCTCTATCATCTCTCAGACTATGCGACACCCGACATTATTGCGCAGCATCGCTACAGGCTTACGAGTTTGCCATAGCGTTGAAACGCAGCGTCTTTTCGAACGCGCGCGTGGGTAGCTGTTGTTGTTGTTGTTGTTGTTGTTGTTGTTGTGGTTGTTGTTGTAGACCCAAGCAGGGTTGATAGGCAGAGTCTTGATCATGTCTCCCTGCGAGGCTATTATGTTGTGGTGTTCTGTCGTTCCAAGCACCAGGCCCGTTTCGGATCGTCAACATCTCGTTTTCCGCTGCCGCGCATGCTCATGCCCCACCTCCAGATGCCACACACTGCGTTCTTCAGGCGTACACGTTGTTGGTTTTCCCCCCTGCGTCTGTCAAGTGACTGCCAACGTACCTTGCACAAAAAGGCCTGCGGTTTGTGTGATTGCGGGCCGTCTTTCTCGATGATGCCACCCGATCTTGTATCAATGATACACCTTTCCTCGAATCCTCATTTGGCACACGAGCCCCTGTCGAATCAATACATGGTGCGATTCGCATGTGTCCTCCTCACGCAGAACGACATGAGGAAACAGGCAGGGAGGCACCCGTTTATTGGCACTCGTACGTTGTGACCACAGATGACGTGATATTGCGGTGGCCACTTTCCCTCCACGGACAATTGCCTGTGCAGGCTGCTGCGCTTGAGAGCAATGAGTTAGTGAGGAAGTGAGGAAGCGGGGGGAACGATGAGGATGAGGAGGAAAAGGGAAACGAGGAGAGGAAGGAGGACGAAAAGGAGGAAGACAAGGAACATCTTTATGATAGTGGGGGTGGTGACATGGCGATGAGGACGACAGTGAAGAGGAGGAGGAGGAGGAGGAGGAGGAGGAGGAGGAGGAGGAGGAGGAGCAGGAGGAGGAGGAAGAGGAGGAACAGGGGGAGGATGAGGACAAGGAAGAAGGATAAGTGAGGAATGAGGAGGAGGGGGGGAAGGGGACGCGAGCTGTCAGGACGAACCGGCCACCTCCCTCTGTCCACTCCGCGCTCCACCCTCCATCCCCCCCGCCGCGCCTCCACCCAGTTATTTTCCTCTCTCTCTCTCTCTCTCCATCTTTTCCCCTCTTCTCTCTTTCCTCCTCCGTTTTCGTCCCGCTCCTGCGACCCTGGCCTTCTCCGCCTTTTTCTTTACCCTCTTCATCGGAGGGATGAGAAGCGATACCACATCACCAGGGGGCCCACCTCCAGCGAGGAGGTCCACGATGCCTCCGCGAGAGAGAGACTGGGGATGTCTCGAGCGAGAGGGGGGGACCATACCACCAGGCAGACCCCCCTAGCCTCCGCGCATCTCTTCGCCCTGTTGGTGTTGGTGTCGCCTTTCCTTGTTCCTATCTTCAGTCCGCCCTCCTTTGGTCGTCTAAGGAGTTGCGGGCCGCGTGCGAGGGCCTCGCGGGGGCGTTTGCCACTGCGCCGCCGGCGACGGACACCGCGCGGGAGACGCCGCCGATTTGCCTCTCGTCGTCGTCGTCGTCGTCGTCGTCGTCGTCGTCGTCGTTGTCCCAGATCATTGACGATCTCATGGAAACCTTGTGGTGCTTTTTCTTTGAATTTCGTACTCAGGGGGCCGTTCTCGGGCCCTGGGACCCACAATAGTTGTTCTGGGACAGAAAGCTACTCCCGGGGAAGCGGTCGGGACCTCTGGGGCCGCAGATTGAAATAATCAGACCTGCGGTTGTCAGGGTCGTCGTCGTCGTCATCCTCTCCGCCGTCGCGTTGCGTCGCGCTGCCCGGCCATTCAATATAACTACTTCTGGCTGTTCCGTCTCTTTCGCTGTCGCCGTCCTCTCCTCGTCGTCCTCCTGCTCGTGCCTTCCTCTCGCTGTCGTGGTCGTCTCTACTCGTCTGCGTCCCGAGCCTCCTCTCGCGCTGTCCTCGGGCGCCTCCGCGGGGAGCGCGAGGGGGGGGGGGCCGGCACACTTCAGCGCCTCGCGGGCCCGGGCCTGAGAGTTCTGTTCCGTCCCTGGAGACGGGGCAGGAGATCTCTCTCTCTCTCTCTCTCTCTCTCTATCTATCTCTCTATCTTCATGTCGGGCGTGTCCCCCTACAGGGGGATTTTCGACGAAAAATGAAAAATACCCAAAAAATATTCCAAAAAGGTAAAAACATACTAAACAAATAGTCCCCAGATTATGTTTGGATTATTCTTGGACTATTTTGGGGGTATCTTTTGTTTTTCGTCGAACTTCCCCCTGTAGGGGGACAGGCCCGACTTAACTCTATCTCTCTCAGTCTTCCTTTCTTTTTTACTCTGCAGAGGAGGCGCTGAAATGAGGAACGCTCTGGGCTTAGAAGGGGCTGCGGTTTTCGGGCCGTTCCTCAGGGTCAATGCCGAGGAACCTCTCGGTGGCCTACGGTGGAAGCCCATGCCAAGGAAACACCCTGCTTGCCTCCAGGATGCTCTGGGTTTCTTGGGTGTCGATGGTTTTGCTGAGGCAAGCGTGACGTGCCCACACCAAAAATCAATGGGCGTCCTGGGGTCTCAGGTTTGAGTTTCTTGTGGAAGGTTTCTTGTGGTCGAGCTGCTACTGTAGTCCCGCCGTGGAAAAGCTCGTTCGTTCCTTGCCGTACGTTCCTTGTGGTAGCACAACGAGAGTACGTAACACCCTACATTCGCGGACAAGAGTGAGAGGCAGCTGGATCATCGGCAGTTTGCGAGGCTCCGAAGAAGCCCGCCGCAGGCGCCGATTTTTCTGACACATTTCACACGAGCCCATCGCAGGCGCCGATTCTTTCGCCAAAGCAACGTGGGTGGGTCGCGGTGGGTCGCGTCGTTGGTCGCTGTCGTTTCGTGGGGGGGGGCCGTTATATTATCCAGGCCCCTTCACCCTCGTACCCAGGAATTGTGTAAGATGTAAGACCGTTCGGCCGTTCGGCCCCTTCACTCTGATCTCTTTCTCACTCTCGCACTCTCTATCCATCTTTTCATACATCGTCCCTCCTTGCTCCATTGCATTTCATACTTGGCGCCCAACTTCTATATCGTCTCCATCTGTCCTTCTGATCCCGTCCATCCATCCCTTCATCCCTCCCTCCGAGCCCCGGGAGCACTCCACTTCGTGCCTTGAGGCGCGGTGGCGGAAATATGCATACATGTACACATCGTTGGGTGTACGCACGTATGAGTATATGTATACGTGTGTGGGCTCGTGCACATATTTGCCACCCTCTTTCTCTCTATGTGTTTTGTCTCTCTCTCTCTCTCTTTCTCCCTCTTCCTCCCTTTCGTCCACTTCTTTCCTGATCTCTCACCGGCAGGTCTCGTTTTTGATTCAGCCTGTCTCTTCTCGCTGTGCCCCCCCCCGCCCTCGAGGAGCGCCTCGTCAACGTGAAGGCATCGCGCTGGCGCTCACCCCTTGCAGTCTTCTTGCGGCCGCCTCCAGCGGAGCCAACGTGCTCTCCAGAGGGCGAAGAGGAGGAGCAGCAGACGGACGAGGCCGGGGAGGAGAGCTGTGCACGCGCGCTGTGCCTGTGTCAGGACGGGAAAACACACAGACACAATTCATCTGATATTTTCAGTGTCCGCCGTGCACGCATGGGGGACGGGCGAGATCCCACGTTTACAGACTGCGGGCATTTGTCAAAATACGTAGTGGAGCCGTTGCGGGCGTCTTGGAGCGAGATGAGGGGCGCGTCGGGGCCCTCTTGGACAGTCCACCGCGCGTTCGCGAGGGGTTCCTTCGGGCCCCCCCGGCAATCCCGGCCCCCCTCGAGCGGTTCCCGCCCCCGCCGATCGTCTTCTCGATAGGATATATTGGTACTGGGAGCCTCAAGGATAAGCAGGAGAGACAGCTTTCAACATATCATGATCTTCATAGATGTTGTCGCTCCGCCATTGGTCTTGATTTCGTATGTCCATCTCACCTTGCAGGTGCGGAGTTCCACTAGCTGCTGCAATTGTGATTTCCAGCTTCTCGCTTTTCTTGTTTTCGTTTGTTAGTTCTTTTGACGTCTTTATATGTTTTTTTGGTGTTGCATTTTTTGGGGGGCCTCCTTGAGGCTTTTCGCCGCCACGCTTGACTCCGCGTCGAAAACCGAGTCAGGATGGATCCCGAGAGTTATGATGTTCCAACCTGCTTCAGCCTTGACCACCAGAATTTAGAGCACCAGGAAAGTACCGCGAAATTGCAGGAATTTCACGTGTCGGGCCCTGGGAGGCGACACTCTTTCGACACTCTCTCGATTGTTTGTTTTCTATATTTCTTGGATTTGGTCCTTGAGCACGATGGGAGCAACATGACCCGAGAGGGGCTCGGAGGCCGACTTTTATATACGCACGTATATATACATATATATGAATCCATTATATATATATATATATATATATATATGTATGCATGCATGCAGGTATGCATTTATGCATGTATGCATGCATGCATGCATGTATGTATGTATGCACGTATGTATGTGTGTAGGTATGCCTGTACGTGTATGTATGTATTGTCGTATGGATGGCTGTATGCATGGTTGTTTGTTTGTTTATATGCATGTATGTATGGATGTTTGTATGTACATGTGTATGCATAGGTATTTGTATATGTATGTGTACATGCATCTGTATATGTATATGCGTATGCGACTGTATATTTATGCGAACAGGTGTATGTGTTTGGATTTGTGTTTACAAGTACATGTATGTGTATACGCATATGCGCATACATATATGTATATGTAATTTTATGGAATACAAGGCTTTTATACATGTAGGTATGTATGCGTGTAGTTGTGCATGCATGTATGCATGTATGCATGTATGCATGTGTGTATGTATGTATGTATGCATGCATGTATGTATGCATGTATGTATGTATGTTTGTTTGTTTGTTTGTATTTACGTGTGTATGTATGTATGCATGTATGCATGTATGGATGTGTATGTATGTATGTATGTATGCATGCATGCACGTATGTATGTATGTATGTATGTATGTATGCATGCATGCATGCATGCATGCATGCTTGCTTGCTTGCTTGCTTGTATGTATGTATGTATGTATGTATGTATGTATGTATGTATGTATATTTGTGTACATGTATTTCTGTATGTGTGTATGTGTGTATGCATGCATGTATTTATGTACGTATGTACATGGCTATATACATGTATATATATATATATATATATATTTATATATATATATATATATATATAGATGGCCTGGGCGGGAGAGCCGCCGTGGCCTCCTTATTGGCCTTTCCACCCTTCGAGTGAGGCTTCTCAGATGCCCCGCTGCCCCCTGAGAGGTTTTCTGTGTCTTCCGGGAAGGCTCAGGCATTTCTCAGAGGGCCGGGGGACGTCCGAGCTTTCTGAGAAGGCCCGCACCTTCTTACCTCCCCCTTCGCCCGCCGCCGAGGAAAGGGCTTTGCAATTTCACAGTTCTGGTAATGAGATCTGAGAGCATCTCGAGAAAGAGCTCCATCCTGGTTCGAAGTCGCCCTTCATCCGTGTAGTTTCACACTTTGTCATCTCGTGCCGTAGAATTTCAGTAGATCTCGAATACGAGCCGCATGTCGAATACACATCTGCCCCTATCCTTCTAGCTTTTGGAAGCTGCTGAAACGAACATACGCGTTGCCAGCACGAGAGCCGCACTTTGAAAACCGTCGGCCCTCCATTCGTGTACTCTGCTCGGAGGCTTGTTGCGTTTCCCATAATTCGGAATTTCGAGAATTCGAATTCTGAATTACGGGAAACGCAATTTTCCACAAACAACCGCACTTAAGACAAATGTGCGCGGCGCGAGTGCGAGGGCCGCGTCTTGGAAACCACCAGCCCTCCACCCTGACCCGTGGACCGTGTTTGCCTCCGGCTCGCCACCTGTGGGGGGACGCCTCGAGCGAGGCGCCTGGCCCGGGCCGCGGGCCTGTCCGGTGGTGCGACGGGGGCGAGCTCTTTTTGTGAAAAGACGAAGGGATTGGGGCGACGGAGAAGGAAAGCAGCGAGGAGGAGGAGGAGGAGGAGGAGGAGGAGGAGGAGGAGGAGGAGGAGGAGGAGGAGGAGGAGGAGAGGGTGCATAATACAGCTCAGACGTGTGCAGTCCCGTCCAGGCCGCGCTCGACGCGTCCGCGGCCGAGATCGGCTAGAGCGGCCCGCGGCGCGTCGGTCTCGCCCGCCTGGGCTGCTGCCAGCCGGCTTCGACTGCTGAGGAGGAGGGCCGTGAAGGCAATGTGACACAATGGGATGGTGACGGCGATGGCGATTGCGATGCTGATGATGATGATGGTGATGATTATGATGATGGTGATGGTGAACAAGCTAATTAATGATGCTGCTGATGGAGATGATGATGCTACCGATAATGCTGACGATGATGATGATGATGCTGAGGATGATGCTGTTGATGATGATGATGATGAGGATGACGAGGGTGATGCTGATGATGAAGAGGATGATGCTGATTATGATAATGCTGATGACGATGTTGATGCTAATGATGATAAGGATGATGATGATACTGCTGATGATGATACTGATTAGTATCAGTTTTCTTATGCTGATGGTATTTCGATGATGTTGTTGCTTATGTCACTGCTGCTCGTGCTGATGGTACTGTTGATGATGCAGCCGGTACCACTGATAGTGATGATGCTGGCGTTGGTGATGGTACACGGTGATAGTGCGGTTGTAGTGCTCATGGTGATGATGGGGATCATGCTTATGGTGTTGATGCTAGCGGTGCTTGTGATGCTGATGATGATTATGATTCTGGTGATGCCGATGCTGCTCATGCGTATGATGATGATGACTGTGATGATGAGGCTGCTGATAACGATGATGCTGATGATGACGAAGAGGAGCAGGATGAGGAGGATGATGATGATGATGATGTTGACGCTGATGATGATGATAATGATAATGATAATGATGATGATGGATGATGATGATGATGATGATGATGATGATGATGATGATGATGTTGAAGCTGCTGATTATGATGCAGATGATGATGTTGCCGATGATGATGAATCATGTGATTACGATGATGGTCATGATGATGATGATGATGATGATGATGATGAGGATGATGATAATGCTGATGCTGATGAGGCTGCTGCTGAGGATGATGGTATGATGTTGACGGTGATGACTTCGTCAATGCTGATACTGCTTGTGGACATATTGACGATAATGTTGAGGCCGACGGTACCGTTGATGAGGAGTGTGATGATGATAGTGGTGATGCTTGTATGTTGGTGATACTGATCGTTGCGATGGTGATGCTAAGTAGGATGATGATAATGATACTGATTGTGACGATGATGGTGATGGTGATGGTGATGGTGATGATGATGATGATGATGATGGTGGTAATGCGATGTCGATAATGCTAGTCGTGATGGTGATGGCGATGGTGATGATGATGCTGATGCTGATTATGATGATGGTCATGGTGATGCTGATGATGATGATGATGATGATGATGATGATGATGATGATGATGATGATGATGGTGATGATGATGATCATGATGATCATGCTGCTGATCATGATGATGGTGATGCTGATTGTGCTGATGCTGATGTTGATTGCTATGATGATTCGAATGCTGCTGATCAGGATGATGCTGCTAGTGTTGATGATGTTGATCAGCAGGAGGAAGACCTACCCGTCATCGGTCATCCCTGGGCATTCCTGGACGCCGCCGGCGCGGAACGTGACGTCTTCGGGGGGGGGGAGGCGGGGCCGGTGACGGCCGCTATCCCGGAAAATAACAGACAAACTCTTCTTTGCCAGGGATCGGACGCGTGCTTGCCGCCATTTGCGAGGGTTCGCGGCTTCAGGAGCGCGAGTGCGGCGCAATTTGCAAGGTGTGACTTAGCGGGGATTGTGGCCTCGTGGGCGCGAATTGTGCATAAGATGTGAAGGCTCGTGGCTTCGGGTGACCGAACCTGGCGTAATTTGTAAGGATCGTGTCTTCGGGGGCGCGAACGTGGTATGATTTTCTTCTGGCATCGTGGCTTCAGGGGCGCGGTCCTGCCGTAATTTGGACAGGGATTGTTGCCTTGTGGGCGTGGGTCTGGCGTTCTATGTCCAGGATCGTTGCCTCGGGGGCGGGCACGTTGGGCAATTGACAAGGGATCATTGCCTCGGGGACACGAGCCGTGCATAATTTCTGTAAGTGGCCAGGGATCGTGACCTTGGGGTAGTGCGCGAATCTGGTGGATGCTCGATAGGTGGTGGCCTCGGGGGGGGGGGGCGTTCGTATTGCGCCCTCGGAGGTGTGAGTCTCAGAGTCTCAAGTAAGTTTGCGTGCCTCCAGGGCATTCTGAGAACCCCGTGAGGCTGTGGTAACTAGCCAGGGCGGCGTTCGGCTCCGCTGCCCGCGCGGATCAGCGGCAACGTCCTGCAGGAAGCAGGAAGTGGAAGCCCATACCAAGAAACACCCTGCCTGCCTCCAGGGTGCTCTGGTTTTATTTGGGTGCCGAGTAGTTTGCTATGGAAAGCGTGACGCTGCCACGCCATCAATCAATGGAGGCCCTGGGGTCTCAGGGTTGGGTTTCTTGTGGAAGGTTTCTTGTGGTCGAGCTCCTAGTGTAATCCTGGAGACTGGAAACTGGAGGCAGGGTTGGAACTGTGACTGGGGCCGACGAGTTCAGCAGCGGGAGTCGCCCCCTGGACGAGACATGCCAGCCGAGCATCCAGCCTCCGAATTGCCCATGCTGTTTGGAAGCAGGAGGAAGAGGAGGACGAGGAGAAGGAGGAGGAGGACCTGGAGGAGGAGGGGGAGGAGGACAACGAGGAGGATGAGGAGGACGAGGAGGAGGAGGAAGAGGAGGAGGAGAAGGAGGAGGAGGAGGAAATAGAGAGAGAGAGGGAATCAGACGGAGCGGAAACAAAGGATGCACGAGTAACATTGATAAGAGGAATGGGGGAGGAGAGATGAGGGCCGACTTTCGGTGGAGTCGCGTTTCAAGCCCCTCGCGCTGTTCTTGCGGAAGAGGACTACCTTTGTTCCTTTTTTTCCCCTCTTCTCCCAGCTAGCTATCCAGCTTCCCCTCCCCCTCCTCTCGTTCTTTCCACTATCTTCTCCTCACGCCTCCCTTCCTCCTGGTCTTCCTTGTCCTCCTCCTTTTTCCTCTTTCGTCTTCAATCCCTCTGCTGCTCGTCTTTCTTCCCCGCCTTCCCTCGCTCCCCCTTGCCTCCGTTTGAACACGCCTGGCTGTATCATCATTATAGCTTCCCTTCTCGCCTTCTGCTGCCTCCACCTTTTCTTCGTCCTCGTAGGGTTCCATCGCCATGGATCCTTTCGAAACCAAACAAGCTGTCCTTCGCATCGTCCTCGTCTTTCTCTCTCGCCCCTCGTCTTCGTCCTTTTCTTCGGATAACTCGCAGACGCTGGTCGACCACTTCCGAGTTTCCCGAACACTTCAATCCTCCCACTTCTCATTTGCATGTCCTCGCCCTCGTCCTTTACAGCTACACACAATGAATGCTATTCTCCTCTCTCCCCCGAAGATGCCGCTGAGGTGTTCTGGCCTTTTCTGAATGGCGCTCCCGCTACAGAGTTGGCTCCATTTGCCCGTTCGCAGTCCTTCCAATTCATGTGCCCGCTGCATCGCGGACCTCATTTCATGTTTTGGTTCTTTCAACTGGTGCTCCTCTTGCGATGGGGCTTCGGTTCCGCGCTTCCAGTCCTTCCCATTCGTGCTCCCACTGCTGTGCTGGTCTCATTTCCGCGGCTTTGGTCCCTCGGAATCGTGCTCTCGCTGCAGCGCTGATCTGATTTTGCGCTTCCCGCTTGCCAAACCCAGACATGCGGCGTCCTGTTTTTTCATGACGGCGTCCCTGGAAGTCCCGACCCTTTCCCCGGGACTGTTTGTTCGTTATGAGTTGTTTTTTTGACTGTCCCGAGACCCGTCGAGGGCTCCTCGAGGCCGAGAACTGGTAAAACCTTCCGTCTTGGTTTTTTTTACGACGCGATCATGTTTGGGAACCGTCCATTTGCAGTTCTCGTCCTGTGTCATGTCTGGTGTCCCTCTGACCTTGTTGTCGAAATGCGTCGCGTTCTCGACGCGACGGCATCGGCTGTGGCCTTGCGCTCTTCTGTGCCACGCTGTGTCGTGCTGTACCCTGCATCGCGTACTCTCGGGATCGTTGTCCCATTCGACACCCGGCTGGGCGAATCGAGAGGAGCTCTACGGAACGGCAAGGGATGGGAGGGAGGGGTAGACCTTCCATCCTTCCCATCCCTCCCTCCCCCCCCTCCTCCTCCTCCTCCTCCTCCTCCTCCTCCTCCTCCTCCTCCTCCTCCTCCATTCTTTTTCCTTATATATATACATATATATATAGTTTCTCCATGTCGCACCCCGAGGCCAGTCTTTAGGGCGGGCAGCTCTGACGCTTGCGCACCTAGCTTGTCTCCTTTCCTTCGCCTATCTCCCTCGTCTCTCGCCTCCCTCGCCTCTTCCCCTCATCCCTCCTCTCGCCCTCTTTCTCCGTCCTGTTTTCCTGCCTGCGGCCCCCTGCCTCATTCCTCACCATCATCAGATCAGCATCACCATCACCACCACCACCATTAGCATCATCACTACCAGTATTACCTTCATCATCATCGTCCTCATCCTCCTCCTCCTCCTCCTCATCATCAGCGTCATCAACAGCAGCATCATCATCGTCATCATCATAATGTTTCGTATCAGTCGAATGTGATTTTATAAGTGTTAGTAGTTTTAGTACTACTACTACTACTAATCTTTCTAGCATTATCATTACGAGTCTCCTTATCAATAGCATCATCCGTCCCAGCATCAGTAATTGCATCATCAGTATCACAATCATTGTTGTTATTCTGTGCGTTATCATTATTCTTATAGTCGTTCTCACTCGTATTGATATTTGTTTGCGTCTTCACCCCTCTCTTTTTTTCCTTCTCATGCTTTTTATGTTTAAGGTCCCCTAGCTCATTCTCATTATTACCATTGTTTGCTTCTCTCTTCCCCCCTCCTCTTCGTCCTCCTGTCGCGCCCTGCTTCGGCGGTAGGTCTCTCTCGGCGCCCCGGCCGAGCGGCGAGGCCCGACGGTAGTGCGCTGCCCTGGGCGCTCCCTCGGCATCGCCAGGTCGGGGCAACAAGGGGAAGGGCGCGATCGCGGGTCCGGCGCCGGAAGCCTCTGCCAACGCGTCGTCATCGTCGTCGTCGTAGTTTTCCTCGTCGTTTTCTTCGTCGATCTCTTCGTCGTTTATTTGTCGCTTTCTTCGTCGTCTTTGGCGTCGTCGTCGGTCGCGCCAGGCAGGCGAAACTCGGGAGAGTTCGGCGACGTCAGGGTCCAGATGCGCCAACTGGGTCGCGGAGCCACCTCGGGGCCTCCTGCCTGGGCCTCCCGGGTGAGGTCTCGAGCAGATGAGGTTGGAGGATCGCGCGGCATCGCCGATGCAGCGCCGATGCGGCTCGATGTGGAGCCCGATTTTCTCCATGCCGTCGGCGCCGATGCATCGCCGACGTCACCGATTCATCGCCGATGCATAGGCGATGCGGCGCGATCCGCCAACCACCATTAGTCGGACCCCATCCAGGAGGGCTCCAACCTGTGCCACCCCAGCGTGGCACATGCTTGCCCCTGGAGAAGCAGGGCGTCGCCCACCCACAGTTCTCGGCCGGGGGGGGGGAGGACGGGTCGACACTCTTCGCAAAGGCCCTTTGCTAGACGAGGGGGAGGAGGAGAGAGGATCGGGACTCCAGCGGTTCACCAGGGGAAATTTGTGACTTCCGAGATCCCCAGAGGCCCTCGTGTCGGGCGGGGCCAGGAGTGGGACAAATCGTTCCAGAGCGTTCTAGAACAGAAACGCTCTTGGAGCGTTCACGAGCGCTCTGGAATGGCCGCGGCGCCCGATTTGTAGCAAGAGCACACAGCCCACGAAACCCCCATCGACCTAGAATTGGCACGAGTACAGGTTGTGGTCGTGTCGGTCCTCCTTTATCTCTTCCCATGGATCCCATGGCTTGGGCAGTCGCGGCGTCTCCCAGCAGCAGCTCAGCATCGCTACGGGGGCAATGCAGGAGTTATCTCCTCACTCCAGTGCCGCACCCAGGGAGTTCCGACTTGCCTGAACGGGTAGAGCAGCAGCAGCCATGTACGCCATCATTCTTTTCCTCCTCCTAGCTCGCGGAGGGAGAAATCCAATTCCCTCGAGCACACCCCCTCGATTGGAGGGTGGGCCGTATCGTTTCTGAAAAAGACCATTGGCCATGTTCGGAGTCCTCCTCCTCCTCCTCCTCCTCCTCCTCCTCCCTCCTCCTCCTCCTCCTCCTCCTCCTCCTCCTCCTCCTCCTCCTCCTCCTCCTCCTCCTCCTCCTCCCTCCTCCCTCCTCCTCCTCCTCCTCCTCCTCCTCCTCCTCCTCCTCCTCCTCCTCCTCCTCCCTCCTCCTCCTCCTCCTGCGCGGCTTCGCGCTGCCCGTGCGCTCCGCGCCGCCGCGGCGATGGCGGAGGACTCGGACGAGGAGCCGCCGCCAAGGCGCGCGGGAGGGGGGGAGGCAGGAGGAGGAGGAGGAGGAGGAGGAGGAGGAGGAGGAGGAGGAGGAGGAGGAAGGAGGAGGAGGAGGAGGAGGAGGAGGAGGAGCGCCGCGTCCGCTCCCATGCCCACGTCCAAGTGCACGTCCCTGCTTCTCGAGAGGGTGCGGGCACCTGCGGCGAGGGTGCCGCAGCGAGCTGCCTCGTGCGCGGGGGGGTGCGTACGGTAGGTTCGCGCCGTTTCGACCGGCGGCGACCCCGCCGCCGGCGTTGAACGTTGAACGCCGCTGGCGATCCAGAATCGGTCGATGCTGGATGAACTGACGTTTCGGGAACGCCCGATCCGTGAAGATTGAACGCTCCCCGCGGTGTCAGAGCACACATGTGGAACACGTATCTCCCGCAACTCGAATGCGGGGTCTGCGGGTTGGGTTGGGGTGGCTTGGTAGATCGTCAGGGAGGGACTACGTACGCGTTTGGAGGGAGGCGAACGTAAGTCAGTATTCATAGTAAGAATGATTGACTTCCCAAGGGTACCCTTGCATCCTTGCCTCGTCGGTCATTTTCGGTTCATCCTCAACTACTTTCGATGGCCAGCTCCGCTCGAACAACTTCGGCATGTTGATGACAATGGATGTTAATACCAATGTTAAGGATTAGCTAAGGATGTTGACGACCATGGCCGCTCCGCCGAGGATTAGAAGGATGCTAGTGACACTGGGCATGTTGATGATGACGATGGCGATGGCGTCTGTGGTGATTATCATGTTGTTCATCATTGCATCGCTTCGCCCATTCCGCCGGCCCGTACTGTGCCATCGTTGGCGTTCGCGTGCGCGTTCGTGGGCCATGCGGCGCTGCTGGTCGGCGCTGCTGCGGTTGTGGGTGAGAATCCTCACAGATGCTTCTTGATGTCTTTTCGGCGAGTTCTCCGGGGGCTCGTGTGTAGTAGTTTCAGGGGTTCTTGGGGACCTTTGGGCCGCCTTGGAAGCCTCTCGGGGCTCTCTTTTCGCCTCTTGCGGGCCTCCTGTACCCTCTTTTTGGGCTCCTGGGGGCCGCTTGGGGTAGCCTGGACGCCTCTTGGTGCCGAGGGCTCGAAATTCCCTTTCGGCTTCCTCCTTCTGGGCCTCCTCTTAGGGCCGTCCTGGGGCTCTCTCTGCTCTTCTTGGAGGCCTCTGTGGCCGTCTTGGGGCCCTCTTGGGCCATGGTAGGGTTCTCTTAGAGGCCTTTTAGGCCGTCTGAGAGCGATCTTAGGGGCTCCTTGCGCAGTCTTAGAGCGTCGGCGGCCGAAAAGGTGGGAACGCTGAAAACTTTCAAAAGCCAATGAGAAGTCGTTGAATTTTGCCTCTAGGGTGCTTCTTGGGAGTAAGTGCCCTGAAGGCAGCCCCCAGGAGTTCCGGCATCTGTGACGGGGACCGCCCTGGGCTGGCCCCGGGGTACTCTTCGTCCGGGGACCCCCAGGGGCAGCCACGCGCGCGCGCGAATTCAAGGTATCCTAAAGCTGTTACCGGAGATTTGAACTTGCCTTTGGCCCGTTGGGCCAGCCAATTTTGGTGGCGGCCGTCGTGGTGACGATGGTGACGATGGTGACGACAACGGTGAGAACGTTGATGGCACGGTGATTTTGATGACGACTCTGATCGTGATGATGGGTTCGATGGTGGTGATTCTGATGATTCTGGTTATGGCGCTCCGGGTGATTATGATAATGACGACGCGAATAACAATGATGATGATGTTGATGCTGATGATGATGATTGCCTTGATGTTGATGCTGATGATGTGCTGATGATGATGATGCTGCTGATGCTGATGCTGATGATGCTGATGGTGATGCTTTTGATCATGATGCTGATTATGATGATTGTGATGCTGATACTGCTGATGAGGATGTTGCGGTTGTTGTTGATGGTGATGACGTGGTGGTGGTGATGGTGGTTGTGATGATCGTACTGTCGCCGAAGTCGGTGTTGTTGATGTTGATGCTGGTGGTGACGATGCAGCTGGTTATGGTAATGCGGAGTGGAGGTGGGAGAGGAGGAGGGTGTTCGGCATGCATGTGGAGGAAGAGCACGTACAATGAGGAGTACTTAATACGGGGCTGATGACGACGATGACGACGATGTTGACGATGATAATGATGTTGGCGATGCTGATGATGTTGATGATGATGATCATGATGATGGTGCTGAGGATGATGCTGATGCTGACGATGATGATGGTGATGCTGATGATGATGCTGATGACGATGATGATGACGAAGCCGATAATGACGCTGATTGTAGAGATGATGACGATGACGATGACGATGAAGTTGATAACGATGACGAGGCTGGTGATGATGCTGATGATGATGCTGCTGATGATGACGCTGATGATGCCGATGATCATGATGAGTATGACGATCACGATGCCGGTGACGTTGATGATGATGACGACGATGATGCTGGTGATGATGCTGATATTGATACTGTTCACGACGATGGTGATGGCGATGACGATTATGATGATGACGATGATGTTGATGATGACGTTGCTGACGCTGCTGATGATGATGATGCTGCTGTGGCTGATGAAGATACTGGTGGTATTCATGCGATTGCTGCTGATGATGATTGCAAGCAGGAGGCGCAGGACAATTAGGAGGACGTTGATGAGGAGGCGGCGGTAGAACATGATGATGATGCTGATGTTTATGACGGTGATGCTGATGATGATGCTGATGATGATGATGATGATGATGATGATGATGATGATGACGCTGATGATGACGATACTAATGATGATGATGATGACGATGACGATGCCGATGGCGTTGATGACAACGACGATGGTGATGATGACGACGATGATAGCGGTGATGATGCTGATATTGATATTATTCATGACGATGCTGATGATGATGATGATGATGATGCTGATGATGATGATGATGATGATTATGATGATGATGATGATGATGATGATGATGATGATGATGATGATGATGGCGATGGCGATTATGATGATGACGATGCTGTTGATGATGACGAGGATTATGCTTTTGCTGATAATGATGCTGCCGCGGATGAATACAATTGTGGTGATCATGCGGTTGCCGCTGATGATGATTGCAATCAGGAGGAGTAGGACCATGAGGAGCATGAGGAGGAGGAGGTAGAACATGATGATGCTCCTTCCTCCTCCTCCTCCCCCTTCTCCTCCTCCTCCTCCTCCTCCTCCTCCTCCTCCTCCTCCTCCTCCTCCTCTCCTCCCTTCCTCCTCCTCCTCCTCCTCTTCCTCCTCCTCCTCCTCGGCTGCCAGGCCCGGCCCTCGGCCAGGCCCCCTCGGCAGGGGCCCCGCGCGGCCCCGCGCCGCCTCCCGCGGGGAGGGGCGGGCCGCGCGCCTCGGGGCACGGGCCCCTGCCGGCCTCTGCGGCACGGTCCCCTCGGGAGCAGGACGGCCTCCCTTTGCGTTAGGTTGGGAGCAGGACGGCCTCCCTTTGCGTTGGGTCGGGAGCAGGACGGCCTCCCTTTGCGTTAGGTCGGGCACGGCCACCCTTGCCTTGGGTCGGGCACGGCCACCCTTGCGTTGGGTCGGGAGCAGGACGGCCTCGCCTTGTGTTAGGTCGGGCACGGCCACCCTTGCGGTGGGTCGGGCACGGCCACCCTCGCGTTGGGTCGGAAGCAGGACGGCCTCCCTTTGCGTTGGGTCGGGCTCGTCCCCCTACGGCCAAGCAGCGGCGAAGCGTCCCGGCGTACTTGTAGGTCCAGCAGGCAATGCTCCGAGAACCCTTTTGGGGTTTCCAGGAAATTTGCCTGGAACATTTCTGGCTGGGAGTGTCTTGTTTTGGTACAGCGCGTTCACGTTCTGAGAACATTGTTCTGTGTTTACAACTGGGTTCTAAGACAGTTTCGTGGTAGGCCTATAGGAATGCCGGGACATTCGGTCCTTGCTAAATACAGGTGGAACGTTCAACCATAGTAAAGAAATAGCCTGGGGACGATGTTCGACCATTTTTTGACCATGTTGGTGCATGTTTTGAGGTATGTTATATGTTTCGTCCAAGTCCGCCTTCAGGAGGACATGCCCGACCTAACCCTGCGGCGGAGCCCACGCGGCGCGGGGCACCAGCGGGGTCGCGGCCCCTCCGCCGCTGCGGCGTTTTGGCTAGCCCTCGCTCGTGCGCCATCCTCTCTTCCTTCTCTTCCGCCTCCGCCTCCGCCTCCTCTCCCTCTTCCTCCCTCCCTCCCTCTCTCCCTCCCTGCCTCCCTCCCTCGGGTCATGACAAAAATCACGACGGCCTTTTTCCTTCTTGTTTTGGTATGTTTTCGCCATTTTCGCCCTCTGGGGGCCCTCGCCGGGCCTGGGGATCTTCCCAAACCGACTCAGCGTGAGAAGTCGGTCCTGGGGAGGGGGTCGAGACTTCAGTCGGGCCTGTCCCTCTACAGGGGGAATATTCAAAAATAGTAAAGATATAGTTAGGGGACGATTTTTGAGTATTTTCTGTATCAATTTCAAACATGTTCCTACTATTTTGGATTTTTTCCTCCAACATCCGCCTGTAGGAGGACATGCCCGACCTAAGTCGAGACCTCCGGGGGTCGACGCAGTGAGCAGAAACCATGACGTCGGGTCTGGGTCCGAGCCTCCCGACGTCAGGTTCTTCTTTCTTGCGAAGCGTCCTATCCCCCCTCCTCCTCCTCCTCCTCCTCCTCCTCCTCCTCCTCCTCCTCCTCCTCCTCCTCCTCCCTCCTCCTCATCCTCCTCCTCCTTCCTCCTCCTCGTCCTCCTCGTCTTCCTCCTCCTCCTCCCCCTCCTCCTCAGAGGGCCAGACCATTCCACGAATACCGTTTTTGCATTCCGAGTCGTTTCTTCACGACCCTGGGGCCGAATACAGAAAACGTCCGTTCGTCATTGTTCTGTTTTTTTCACGACGCGGGGGGTTCTGGGCTGTGTCGCCGCCGCCGCCGCCGTCGCCTCCGCCGCCGCCGCCGCCGCCGTCGTCGTCGTCGTCGTCGTCTTCGTTGTCTTCGTCGTGGTCGTGCCCTGGAGCCCCGAGGCCGCAGATGTTCCCGGGGTCCAGCCCCAGGATGCTCAGCTGCTCCAGCGACAGGACGGCCGCGCCCCCTCCCCGGCGGGCGCCTGGCGGGGCCGCCCACGGCCGCCGCGCTGCGACTCGGTGCGACGGCTGGGGCCCACGGTGCCCCGAATGTCACACCAAAGGGGTGGGGGTGGAGGGTTTCTTCGAAGGGCTTAGGCGACCCGCCCTCCTCCTCCTCCTCCTCCTCCTCCTCCTCCTCCTCCTCCTCCTCTATCTCCGCCCTCCTGCTCCTCCTGCTGCTCCTCCTCCTCCTCCTCCTCCTCCCCCTCCTCCTCCTCCTCCTCCTCCTCCTCCTCCCCTCCTCCTCCTCCTCCTCCTCCTCCTCCTCCTCCTCCTCCTCCTCCTCCTCTCGTCCTCTTCCTCCTCCTCCTCGTCCTCTTTCTCCCCCCCTCCCTCCTCTCCCTCCTCTCCTCCTCCTCCTCTTCCTCCTCCTCCTCCTCCTCCTCCTCCTCCTCCTCCTCGGGTCGCCTACGGCCCCAGGGGAAACCGTGCAGCACAGCCTCCCAGACGAGCCATTTGACCCCCCCCACGAACCGGTCATGAAAGGGCGGCCTTCGGCCCAGGCCCCTCGGGATGCTCCGAGACAGCTCAAATCAGACCCCCCCCCGAAAACAGATCACCACCGTTTTGACAGTAAAATCAGGGACAGCGACTCGCTTCGCTGAAATTCGGTTCGCCGGCATCGGTCGGGGCCGGTCGGAGCTGGGCGTGGCGCGTCAGTTCGGGACGAGCCGCTGGCGACACGATCCACTTCGATCCGATCCGATCTCGCGATGCGGCCCAGCTCAGGCCAGTGGAAAGCAGCGGCATGGGTCGGGGCTGTCAGAGCATGCGGTAACACGCCCCCTGAGATCCTTCAGCTCAGCGATCTGGCCCCTGAGCGTCTCCATGGCGACTGGGGAGGCGAGGATTACAGAACTGATGGATTTCGGTATGCCAGGACGTCGAAATCCATCAGTTCAGCAATCCTCGCCTCTCCAGTCGCCATGGAGACGCTCAGGAGCCAGATCGCTGAGCTGAAGGATCTCAGGGTGCGTAGGTCACCTCAAACCCGGCCCGCAGTGAAGGGCGGTCAGAGTTAAGTCGGGCGTGTCCCCCTAAGGGGGATTTTCGACGAAAAGTAAAACATACCCCACAAATACTCCAAAAAGGTCGAAAGATACTTCAAAATAGCCCCCCGACCATTTTTGGTGGACTATTCTTGGATTATTATTGGGGCATTTTTTATCCTTCGTCGAAATCCCCCTGTAGGGGGGCAGGCCCGACTTCCGGTCCGAGGGCCCCGCGCGGCCGCGGTCCCGCGGGCCGGACGCCGCCAGCCCGTGCACGGGGCCCGCCCTGGGCCGAGAACGGCGCGTGCGAGCACGAGCTACCCTTGAGATGGGCCTGCTTTCCACCACCACCATCACCACCATGAGTTGGAAAGGGAGGGGCTCCTCCTCCTCCTCCTCCTCCTCCTCCTCCTCCTCTTGCTCCTCCTCTTGCTCCTCCTCTTCGTCCTCTTCCTCCTCCTCCTCCTCCTCCTCCTCCTCCTCCTCCTCCTCCTCCTCCTCCCCCTCCTCCTGCCCCTTCCAGCATATGGTGGCGGTGGTGGAAAACATGCCCCGTCACCTCTGCCCCCCCTGGCCTGAGACAGGAAGGCTTACACTTCGGGGACATGCGTGACTCGAGCTTGCCGGTACTCGGGCGTGCCGCCAAGTTTCGACGGCCCCGGCGCGGACCTCGACGGCCCCGTTTTCGTTAGTTGCGCGCAGCGGGAGCTCGCAGCAAGATGCACGCACAGACGTCCCGCCGTGTGTCTGACGCGCCCGTCGTTCGCAGGCGATCTCTCGCCCCCATCCCTGAGGTTTTCCCTTGGTCGGCGCAGTCGGGAACCCCGGCTACGTCGGGGATGGGGCTAGCCAGACCCCTTGCTGGCCATGCACCCTCGAGCCCCCCGAGCCTGAGAATGCAACTGGTGGGAGGGAGGGAGGTCAGTATCGTTTCACCGACCCCAATCCCCATCCCCATCCCCTTCGAGACCCCCACCAAACTACACCCCAGTTGGGGACACACCCCTCGAAACCCGAAGGGAACGGCCCATATCCCCATCTAGGGGGGTAGATCAGCCAGTGGGGCCCAGGCCGCGCCGCTGGGGATGGGGATCGTAGAAACGATGCTCAGAGTCCCCCGAGCCCGAGGATGCAACTCCTGGGAGGGAGGGGAGGGCCGTCGGTGGCGGTCCGTCCTTCGGCCTCCGACCAGGAGGGCGGGCGGGGCGCGCAGCCCGAGGGGGGGGGGGCCGAGCGCAGGACGCTGCGGCTCTTCGACATGAAGACAGGCGCCGGCCAGCCTCGCTGGGCGTGTCTCCGGGCACGACGAGGAGGAGGAGGAGGAGGAGGAGGAGGAGGAGGAGGAGGAGGAGGAACAGGCGGAGGAGGAGGAGGAGGAGGTGGAGAAGCAGGCGGAGGAGGAGGAGGAGGAGGAGGAGGAGGAGGAGGAGGAGGAGGTCCGTAGCCATTTTGGCTCAAGCCATGCAGCGCTCTGGCACGCCTGTTCGAGTCTCGGCAGGTCAGCGATTCTCGAGCCCTGCTGCAACTAAATGCGAACAATGTGGATGTGCGCGTAACATGCGCTGGTGGAAGTAGTGCAAGCATTGCAAGGCTCCGCTCCCTGCGACAGATGCTGTTGTCCCTCTGCGTCCTCGTGGGCCTGGTCGTTCTCCTGGAGCGCCACTAGATCGAGCCCCACAGCAGCGGCGAGTACCATGGGTACGCAAAGATGGACTGCATGTGGATGCCAACGCTGGTGTTTCGCCAGGGCCAGGAGCAGTTCGTCGAGTCCCATCGGTTTCCTTCGCAGATGGCACGCGGCCTGGCACCGCATCGCCTCAGCGCTTCAGCTTGGACGATTCAGTATGGCCTGACCCTAGGGGAGAATCGACAGAGCAGGCAGGTTTGGCTGACCTTATCACCCTGCTCCGCTCCAATGGGGATGAAGCCACATCATCAAAGTACCAAGAGAAGCTGGACAAGCTCAACCAGCAACAGGCCATTGAGAACATCAGCGTTGGCCAAGATAAGCAGAAGGTTGAGCAAACAGAAGCAGCCCTTCGACGTGCTATCACCTACTGCGAAAAGCTCGAGGAACAGTTCACTAGTGCACAGGACCAAGTCGAATCGTGTTCGGAGGCAGTGGACTTTGCTCGCAACGTCTACAAGCAGGCCGTCCAGAAACTCGCCAAGTCGGTGGACTCGAAGGAGCCAGAGTCTACGGGCAACCCCTCAGGGCCGCGTCTGGATTTGGCAGCAATTCTGGATGGCAAAACCCTCGACCTCGACGATGGCGGACTTTTTGGGTTGGATGAGTTGGGAGAGCACGTCTCCGCCGAAGATATAGAGGAGGCTCAGAAGCGCAAAGAGGCCCTCCAAGAGAAGTTCCGTGAATTGGCCACTGTCTGCTTTGGTCAGGTCAAGGCGAAAGCTGATGAGCTTAAGCAGGAGCACTCATTGGCTAAGCAGCGATTGGCAGCAAAGAAGCGTCGTTGCGAGCAGCAAGAGGCACCCCCGCAAGATGAAGCAGCTGGGCAGTCTGATTCCGCCAAGCCGGCTACGGATGCGCCTGCTGCTGCGCCGACGTGGGCCTCTGCGAGCGCCAAGCCAGCTCCTGGAACGCCAGTGGCTGCCACGTCCCCTGATGGAGACGCCGGCTCGAGCAAGAAGACAGGTGTTCGGCCTCCGCGACGTTCGGCAACTCTCGTCAAAGACGCGGAGCTCAAGTTGGCCGCTGGTGGAGTGGCCACGGGCTCGCCGTCGCCTGGGTAACGCGTACTTCGACAACTACTACAACCAGCATTCGGTTTTGCTTGCTACTCCGTCGAGTGCAACCTTGGATGCTGCAACCTTTCCTCATGAGTGTCAGCCTTCAGCTGTATATGCAGGTAACATCTGCAAGTGGGAGACTGCTGGAAGCATGATGCTGATCTTTCTCTCTGCCTTGAAGAGTGCCCTGGAGGAATACAGACCAGAGTCGACTACGACTGCAACCACGGGCTGCCATGGGCACACAACTCCTACCCCCAATCTGCAGTTTCTACCACAGCTACCTGTACAAGCTCCTCTTCATTCAGTTCCAGAGGCGGATCGGCCTCCACGTCGTGCGGCGCACTCACTGGCCCCGCCTTGCCAGAGAAGGGGATGACCCCGTGGTGTCCCCACGGCGCGCGTCTCCCTGGAGGTTCGGCGTGCTCGGCCCAGCAGAAGTCGCAGCGTGAACGCCGCGAAGGGCTTGCCAGAACTCCAGCTGGCCAGGGATGTTCCTCCCCTGGGCTGGAGACAAGTGCGACATACGTTACGTCTACTGCTGGGACATCTACGCCTACTGGTCCATCGGCGGCGGCGAGTATTGCTACGAGTGGATCGGTTACATGCGGCTCTGGATCTTCCTTGTGGACTCTGATTGCCTCGAGTGGATCTTCCACTTCGTCACCTGGGTCTTCGGCGTGGACGTTAGAGCGCAAATCCTGGGGCCTATCGGGGCGCCCGGGTTCGCCGTCGCCACCGGCCTGTCTTCCCCCCAGGGCACCCTTTCCACAGGAGGCGAGGGAAACAGTGTTGGGGGGCAGCGGGTTGGAAGTTTTGCAGGATCCGAGACAGCTTTCAGGTGGCGGTCCCAGGGTTGCAGTGCCTGCGCCGAAGTTGGAACGTCGTGCTCGAACTTGGGCACAACGGTGGGTGCACTATCCTTGCCATGGCGTGCAAACGCATGATGAGGCTGCATATTACGATTGGCGCGAACCCTTTTTGGAGCAAGAGTTTTCGCGCCAGAGGTTTACGGCTACGCTCCGAGCGCGCATGCAGACACCCAGACAATTGGCACATGAGGTTTGTGTTCGTGCGTGGCATAAAGGAGTGCGCAGTCGTCAAGGCGTCGGCGGTTCCGCAAGCTCAACAGCAACCAGCAGCTTGCAGCGGTTGGGATGCACAACTTCGAATTTGAATGTTTACGCAGTTGGTTAGCCAGTCAGGTTCGTCGTGGGCCCGCCCCTCCCTTCGGACCTCTTCCTGGACAGGTGCGCAGGGCGCCTAGACGAACCACTGGAGGCCAGCCAGGGCCTTCATCGCAGCCGTCGACATCGGCATCTGCGAGTGCGAGTGTTACTGCGCCAACTGTGGCAACGACAGGGGCGTCTTCAGCGGCTGCTTGGCCATCAGCAGCGGCAAGCTCGGCTGCAGGCTCCCTGCTTTTTTGCCATCTGTGCTTTCGATGTCCCAGTCAGGTGCCGCAGCAGCCCCTGATCAGCCCCCCCAGCCAGCAGGCAGGAGTGTTGGGAGAGGCAAGAGACCAAAGGCACAGAAAACCAAAAATTGTGTTTGGCGATTGCTCACTGCCAACCCCAAAAATTGGAATGGGTTTCAGGGCGTCTGGGAATGGATCCATCTCATGGGAGAGACTCCTGACTTCGTCGCCGTCCAGGAGACCCGCCCCCCTTCAGGAGACCCTGTTTCTTCGGCTTCCTCTTGGGCTGGTTTCCGAGGCCTCAACTCCCAACGTGCTCCGGCTGTTCTCGCAGGAGACCATCAACTAGCTAATTCAGCAGGTGTTGCAGTTGCAGTCCGACGCTACATTGCGAGCCGACACCTTGAGTTTGAGCAGCTAGGGGCGGGCCTGTCGGAAGGGGGGGGATAGCCACTACTGATGCCCAGGCTGTTGTCCCAGGAGGAGTTCACTGGGTCTCGGTCTCCAGGTGCACGGGCATTGGCTGCGCTGGCCTGAGCATTCAGCTTCTGGAGGACCTTGACCTTGGGAAGTTGCTGGGGCAACTCAAGACCCCCTGGGCCCTAGGAGGTGACCTCGACATCGATGCCTCGGACCCTGGGCTGCTCAGCTGGCGTTCGCTTGTAAGGGGGGGGGGGGGGCGGTCATTGCCCCCGAGGCGCCCACGTGCCACAAGCAGATTTTGGACTATTGCATAGTATCACGAGGTATGGCGGCAGCTGTCACCTCTGTCACTGCTCTTTTTGCTGGGCCGTCCTCGCAGCATGCGCCTGTACTTATGGGGCTTCAGAATTTCACTCTGGCCCAGGTCATGAATGTTAGGGTGATGTGGAAGCCCTTCCCCACCAAGCCCAATATAGGTTGCATGCGCGAGCTCACTGAGGCCAACTGGAACTGGCAGACCGGGGAAGTTGACTACTCCAGCGACCTGGATACTATGTGGTCTGAGTGGCTTGATCATATGGCAACTAACTTATGTCAGCAGTTCGATTTGTTCGGTTCCGACAGGGCCCAGTACACTGGGGGGTCCAACTCAAGGAGGCCCTCGACAGGCAGTGGGATGCGCATTCTACCCCTAAGGCACTTACTTGGCGCACCTTTCGGTCCTCCCTGCTTCGTCTTAGAAGATTCTGGGATCGCCCTGGCGACTACCCGCCTGACTTCTGCCGGGACTTCTTGGACATTCTTGGGAAGTTAGACAAAAAAGATCTCACCTCCGACCTTCCCCTTGGCCAGTGCTGCTTAGATGACCTCCTCTCAGTGGCTGCTCATGGCGGCGACGATTTTGAAGCTGTGTCCGATCTGGCGGTCAATGTAGCTGACAAGGATTTGATCAAGGAGGGAAGAGTTAGGTGGCAGAAGTGGCAGAGGTGGGCTAAGGAGGCGGTTGGTGTAGGAGGCAAAGCAGCACGCAGGTTTGCCAAAGAAAAGCAGCAGCTGCGACCGCCAGAGGATGCATCAGATGTACCCCTTATAGGCGATGCCGCTGCCGATGGCCTGTGCGACTCCTGGGGCGTCATGCGGCACGACGCCAAGACGCACATGACCGATGTCCAGAGAGTTGCTGCCCAGAATGCTGCTCTGCCTCAGCCCAGCCTTGAGATGTTAGATGCAGCCCTAACACGCTTTCGACATAATGTTGGACTTGGAATCGACTGCGTCAACCCGAGGTCATGGCTTCGCCTGGGCGATGACTATAGGAATCGTCTTCTGGATGTTCTGATCCTCTGGGAAGATAAACCGTTCCTCTCGGACAAATGGCCCACGGTGATGGTATTCACGGGCAAACCCGAATCGTCGGACTTACGTCCCTTGGCCCTGATTATTTCCCTCGGACGAACATGGGCTCGGCTTCGTCAGAGTCTAGCTCGGTCTTGGGAACAGTCTCATCAGATTTCTGCGTTTTGGGGCTGCGCGACTAAGGAGTGTGACGCGGCAGGCTGGGAACATAATATTATGACACGTTACGCTGAAACGAGCATTTTCGACTCGGGGACGCTTTTCACATACATTCAGAAATTCTACGAGCGCATCTCGCACTATCGGATCTTCGAAGAAGCTGTA